ACATATTAAAAAAAAAAAAAAAAGCACAGTAGTACATCAAATTTGGTAAAGTTTCTGTTAAACTTCATGCCAAAATGTTTAAATGTTTTCTTTTTATCATATTTTCCAAATTTTCTGAAACATGATTAGGGTCATTTCTGTAATTAAAATATAGAATGATACAAATATGAGAGCAGATAGCATTTATTAGGCATCATTCCTTATCCAGCACTGCTCTGGTTGGGCATAATTGGGGCAGGTGTGGAGCCTGGGTCTCAGACCTGTGCAGATTGCTGCAGATCTTGTCTGGGGTATTCAGTGACTGAGAGAGAGTCTGACCTTGTTAGTAAAGAGCTGATAAGAGGCATTTGGTTTTTACTCAACTCAAATTCATCATCAGCCCAGCTGCCCTTGTCCTCCTCCCCAATAAGCTTGCTTCTGTTCCTGGAATCTACTTCCGGACCACTTCCTTCCACACTTCAAGTAATAAAGAAAACAATAATAATATAATATTTCTTTTACATTTTTAATAGTACTTCACATTTTTCAATGCTCTCCCACACAATGTTTTACATAACTTTATAGTAACTACTACCAAAAATAAAACTACTTAAATTTAATGATCACAGCTCTGTGAGATAGATGTTATTTTCTCCAGGTTTGTTTAAACGCTGTTTAGGTGCTCTGCCAGAAGCCACAGCTGGCAAATGGTGGATCCATCTGGAATTTCTTTTTTTTTTTTTTTTTTGAAATGGAATTTCGCTCTTGTTGCGCAAGCTGGAGTGCAATGGCACGATCTCGACTCACTGCAACCTCCGCCTTCAGGGTTCAGGCGATTCTCCTGCCTCAGCCTCCAGAGTAGTTGGGATTACAGGTGCCCTCCACCACGCCCGGCTTATTCCACCTTCCTAAATAAGAATAAAACAAAATTCAAAATGGAAATTTTAAAGTAGTTCAAACTAAAAACAAATGAAAACCCTATTTACCCAAACTTGTAGAGTATGGCAAAAATAGTACTTTGAGATAAATTTGTATTGTTAAATATGTGTATTAGAAAAGAAGAAAGTACAAAGCGAACCATTCAGTTTATTT